TACCTCTAATGCTCTGTTCTTGAGCAGAAGAAACAGAGTCATCTTCTTCCTTTGGAGAAGAAGAAACGTTTTTGACGATTTTGCAGACAGATTTGACCCAAGATGAAGTCAAATGAGATTTCAAACCGAGTAATGAATGGATTGTCTCTGGTAATTTCTTAATCGGTTTCGATCTTGGTTTCTCCATTAAACCAAATCTTGATATTTAGAAGAAAAACAGAGCAATTCACAAAAATCTGATTTTCACTGAAATTTTCTCAAGAAAGAGAGGGAAAGTGAGAGGAAGTAGTAGAAACAAGAGTCAGAGCTCATCAATGGAGGAAATTTGGAGATTATTAGATTTAGAGGACTGAGATTTGAAGAGAATGTTCTTGTTTCATGGTCAAAATCTCTGCAGGTGCCATTTTATATATGATTACAAGAGAACTTGGAGAGAGAGATAATTTTGTAGCTGAATTCGACACTTGTCAATATCACAAAATGGAAAAATGAAATAAAAAAAATTAATTACAATTCACTATTTTTTAACAATTTTTTTTTAATTAATATGTAACTTAAAATGTAATTGGAAAATTTTCCAACTAATCAGGCTGTATATGAGTTCATCTAAACTAATAGTATATACAGCTCTGTTTTTTATCAAAAAAATTTTTTTTTTCTGAAATGATTATTTTAGAGCTAAATATAGAGTTTGTGTTTTGTTTTACATAAATGCATTTAAAGTTTTAGTCTAAATATCTTTGTATTACCAAGTAGAAAAGAACTATAACTAATATGACCATTTCTAAAAAGTTAATATTTAAATATCTTCCATTTTATATTTTACCAAAACATGATGTTACAAGGGTCATTTTGGTGTATAACTAAAAAAAAAAAATTAAAAAGTGGGATATGTGGCAATATCATGACCATTGGATGTATGGAGGTTTTTAGATTATAATTTTTTTTTGTGTTATTTTTGCCAATTTCCCATGTTATAATGGTGAATATCGATTATTAGGCTATATAAGTTTTTTTGCTTAGAAAAAATATAGGGGCATTTGCAAAAATGCCACTTTTTGTATCCATATTTGAAAAAATGTCACTTTTAGTGTCCATTTGCAAAAAAGCCACTAATAATGATTTTTAGAGCCTAAATCTTAAAGTTCTAAACTCTTGAAAATCTGTTGACCCCTAAAAGCCTTTAAATCCTCAAAACTAAACTCTAATAAGACATAGTTAACCCAAACATAAATGATATAATGAATAATAATTTTGAAAAAGTGGCATTTTTGTAAAGATCGTAAAAATATGATATTTTTGTAAAGTGGTACTTGAAAAATGGTATTTTTTGAAATGTCTCAAAAATATATAGTATTGATAACGAATATCCATTATTAGTTTGTATAAGTGTAAACAAGTTATTTTTGAAACAAAATATTTGTACTAACTCGATTCAATGTAAGAGGAAAAACAAATAGTTAAAAGGCAAAAAATATGTGTATGCACGAATCATCTAATTATTAACAAATGTGTTGATATTTTTCATAAAAATATTAAGTGACTCTGGTCTAGCGATTTTTTTTTAAGAAAGTTAGTTCGAATCTACTTATAAGGAAGGATACTCTCGAAGGAAAAAAAGTAGACAAAAGATTTATTTCTAACATCGAAAGAGATTATAGACCACAAATTCATAATTTTCACAGTCTATTCAAAAGAATATCCGCCGGTGTGTATATTTATTATTAGGTTTGTTATCTCTGTTTTTTAGACTAATGGAATTTCAATTTTAAACCAATGTCTATCACGAAAAGATTGTAAACACACAAAAAATGGTCAGAATATATAAAGCGAGTAATTTCCTTACTTTTGTTGTTTCATACAAAGAAGAATCAATCATATATAACAATCGTGATGAAACTCCCATGTGACAACAACATGAAGCATACCACTTCATGATAATGATATATCTTATGAACTCTTTTAGCATTCATATAAAAAATGAGAATTTTGCTAAATTCACTCACATTGAATTAGTGTTTTACAAAATAACATTTGTCTTTTTTGTACCAACTTTTTCTTATATTACTTTTTGATTAATATTGAAAAATACAAAAAAAAATGATTTTTATAATTTTATAAAATCAAAAAAATAGAAAATAGCAATGTACAAGGCATATAGATTCATGTTTATATTTTTTTCAAAAAAAACTATGATAGAAAATTATTTATTTTTCCTTCTACCATGGTCGAATCTACTAGTAGATTAGGTGTTCTGCGAATTTGTATCATTCTACGAGTAGTAGAAATAAGTATTCTACTAATTGCACAAGTTCTACATATCGCAGATTGCACATTCCACCATTTTACTTCAGTACTACCAGTCGCAGAATGCTATTTCTACCAATGTCTTTGTTGTCTACGCCACGCAAAATGCATATTCTACCCCT